AATTCACTTTAAATGAACTACTCAAACAATGTACTACATTGACTAGTTCACTTTGTTAAGGCCCATAGTTGAAAGTTATTCAGGCTTAGAACGTTTTGACTAGCCCTAATGTGCCTGTAGTCGCATGCCAATCGAATCAGAAACTAAGGGAAACAACGGTGGCGACGGTGACGACAGCGTGTAAACATAATAGAATGGAAAAATAATTAGCTCGATATCAATGACATGACAATCAGAGAAGTAGTGAGTCATATTGGTTCATCTCCATGGAACAGCCAATCACGGACCTGGCACTCGATATCAGTTATCTCACTTGGTTACTCACCAACAAGCGTGTGAGGAATACCGTTCTCTCACATTACTGTGAAAACGACACCTTCCGCATTCTCACCAACAAGCGTGTGAGAAATACCGTTCTCTCACATTACTCTGAAAACGACACCTTCCCGATTCTCACCAACAAGCGTGTGAGAAATACCGTTCTCTCACATTACTCTGAAAACGACACCTTCCGGATTCTAACTAACAAGCATGTGAGAAATACCGTTCTCTCACATTACTCTGAAAACGACACCTTCCCGATTCTCACCAACAAGCGTGTGAGAAATACCGTTCTCTCACATTACTTTGAAAACGACACCTTCGGAATCTCACCAACAAGCGTGTGAGAAATACCGTTCTCTCACATTACTTTGAAAACGACACCTTCCGGATTCTCACCAACAGGCGTGTGAGAAATACCGTTCTCTCACATTACTTTGAAAACGACACCTTCCGGTTTCACACCAACAAGCGTGTGAGAAATACCGTTCTCTCACATTACTCTGAAAACGACACCTTCCGGTTTCTCACCAACAAGCGTGTGAGAAATACCGTTCTCTCACATTACTCTGAAAACGACACCTTCCCGATTCTCACAAACAAGCGTGTGAGAAATACCGTTCTCTCACATTACTCTGAAAACGACACCTTCCGGTTTCTCACCAACAAGCGTGTGAGAAATACCGTTCTCTCACATTTCTCTCAAAACGACACCTTCCCGATTCTCACAAACAAGCGTGTGAGAAATATCGTTCTCTCACATTACTCTGAAAACGACACCTTCCGGTTTCTCACCAACTAGCGTGTGAGAAATACCGTTCTCTCACATTACTCTGAAAACGACACCTTCCCGATTCTCACAAACAAGCGTGAGAGAAATACCGTTCTCTCACATTACTCTCAAAACGACACCTTCCGGATTCTAACCAACAAGCGGGTGAAAAATACCATTCTTTCACATTACTCTGAAAACGACATATTCCGGATTCTAACCAACAAGCGTGTGAAAAATACTGTTCTCTCACATAACTCTCAAAACGACACCTTCCGGTTTCTCACCAACAAGCGTGTGAGAAATACCGTTCTCTCACATTACTCTGATAACGACACCTTCCGGATTCTAACAAACAAGCGTGTGAGAAATACCGTTCTCTCACATTACTCTGAAAACGACACCTTCCGGATTCTCACCAACAAGCGTGTGAAAAATACCGTTCTCTCACATTACTCTGAAAACGACACCTTCCGGATTCTAACCAACAAGCGTGTGAGAAATACCGTTCTCTCACATTACTCTGAAAACGACACCTTCCGGATTCTAACCAACAAGCGTGTGAGAAATATCGTTCTCTCACATTACTCTCAAAACGACACCTTCCGGATTCTAACCAACAAGCGTGTGAGAAATACCGTTCTCTCACATTACTCTGAAAACGACACCTTCCGGATTCTAACCAACAAGTGTGTGAAAAATACCGTTCTCCCACATTACTCTGAAAACGACACCTTCCGCATTCTCACCAACAAGCGTGTGAGAATTATAGAATACTAAACGAGCTCCCGTGTAGTACCAATTTTATGAAACGAGTGAATAGTTCTGGTATCTGACGAGCGAAAGAGTTTCATAAAATTGGTACTACACGGGAGCGAGTTTAGTATTTTATTTATTACTCGTCATTTGTACCTACGTAAAAATCAGCTGATTGACTCCGTACGTCGCATCCCGAGTTCAAATCAGGTCATGCGTATGAATACAAAGTCATGTAAATAGTCATCGTCAAGTGCATCTATAATATCAAAATTTTAGCAATTCCAATAGAGAAAACACCCGAACGCTCTTTTTTTCCACAATAAATCTACTTTAATGAACTTCCTGCGAAACTTCGAAACTGCGGTAATGTTTCGAAAACAATAACAAAACAAGTTTATTCGTTCGTTGACAAGGCCAAGGTCACAACGTCACATGACCGCAGGCAGAGGGATTCCCCCGATGACAGTCTGTTTTCAAACTTTCTATCACTGGCGATTCATGTCTGATGACATGTCACTGCTATGGTTTAGAAAATTTACATTCATCACAGAATTGGTGATTGTACCGGCAAAGATAGAGCTGAGTGTGCGAGACTGGCTAGCTGTCACATTGAAAGTTTGGGATGGAGCAGAGACGGTCGACGGTTGGCAAGTCGGAACACAGAGCAGTGATTGTGAAGTGCAAGAATCACTAGGCCTGTCAATCAATGTACTGATGTGTTTGTGCTGCTCTTCAGAAATTTGTGAATAGTTATTGACACTCTGCACATTTCTATGGCCACTGATTTGAATTATCTGAGTAGGTGGAACATTTTTCTCAGAAAGAGTTTGGACCAGATACTTTCGGGCGGAATGATTCGTCAACCGTTTGGTAGATTCAAGTTTTGCATTCGCTGCCATGCGTTTCATTATGGACCCAAGCTTGTTGATGCCAACAGGTTGTCGCTTAAACCAAGGATGTGTCGGAGCGGGAGCAGTTTTAGAATTTGTTGCCAAGTAGAAAGGCGCGTCATGGCCACTGAAACCAGTTGGTCTAAGGTTAGCATAGCGCTTATACGCAAGGACGGGGCAGCGATTGTCACCTGTCGCCCAAGCTTTCGGCGTGACAGTCCGAACATCCCGGATGTTTACACCAGTGCGTGTTTTGGTTTGCCGCTCAGCAAACTGCAGGTACTCCATTCCATTTCCATCTTGATTCAACATCACGTCTCCCCAGTGCATATTTCTATGGGGAGTAACGCTACGCAGTCCAAAATGTGTCGTGTTGTGCCACCAAAGTGTATACAAAATGGACTCGGGAGTTTCGAGACCTAATTCCCCGGATTTCAATAACGTGTCAATGTCGTTCTGACTTAATGACTGCGCACGCATAGGTAAGTTTCCGAGACCTTCTTGTTTTAGAATTTTTTGTTTGGTTTTCAGTACCTCCCTGACGTGTGTAAACTCTAAATCGTGCAAAATTGATTTCCCGTAAAATTTTGTTTTGAGGTGCCTGTCTATACTGGCAATCATCCCCCTCAAACTTGTGGGCTCATAATCGGACCCGTCTCCCTTTTGGACGTTCATAAAGCATTTGCATAAAAGTTTACAAAGTTCATGGGCAGGAATGGCTTCTAGTTGTCTGAAGTCATTCTGCTCGTGCATGAATCTAGTGATGATTTTCATGTCATACGCGGTCTTCCTGGAAGTGTTGACATTCTGATTTGTTGCAATGAAATTCGCAATTTCGGATTCGTCACAGTAGGTTGGCGGAACAGGTATTTCATCCCCCTTTAGAGGCACAGGCACAATATCAAAAAAGTCATCTTTGAATAGATCATTAAGATCGAACAAACTGTTGTCATTATCAACAAAGGTGGGTGGGGGTAACATGGCCGAAACTGTCTCCGGAATTCGTTGCGTTCGATAGCGAGGTACCTGTTTCATGGAACCATCATCCAGTTTAACGTTGAACATGCTGTATGTCCCTAAAGGTTGAACAACCGATAGCACCCGTCCCTTCAGCTGACCATCAATTTTGACACAATCGTTTACTTTTATGGCTTCGGTTGCCATTGTGATAGGATTATTCACTTGACGATAGATTCATCGTCTGCTATATGTACTTTAATGTTCATGTCGTTTATTATTTCTAAGTAATGAATATTTTCTCATCCATATACTTAGAACACATTATTTTTTCGATTTCATGAAAATTCATCTGAAGAAAAAGTATTTGTAGTCACGCCCTGGTGAGAATCGGTACATTTTGACAGTAGCCATTTTGTTTGGTCATGTGACGTATCATGTGGCCGGCCAAAAATAGTTCCGTGTGCACGTGATGTTATTAAACAATGTGTAATACTGCTGTATGTTTATTAAACGGGTGATCTATTCACGGATGAGTAATAAATACCGTTCTCTCACATTACTCTGAAAACGACACCTTCCGGATTCTAACCAAAAGCGTGTGAAAAATACCGTTCTCTCACATTACTCTGAAAACGACACCTTCCGGATTCTCACCAACAAGCGTGTGAGAAATACCGTTCTCTCACATTACTTTGAAAACGACACCTTCCGGATTCTAACCAACAAGCGTGTGAGAAATACCGTTCTCTCACATTACTCTGAAAACGTCACCTTCCGGATTCTAACCAACAAGCGTGTGAAAAATACCGTTCTCTCACATTACTCTGAAAACGACACCTTCCGGATTCTAACCAACAAGCGTGTGAAAAATACCGTTCTCTCACATTACTCTCAAAACGACACCTTCCGGTTTCTCACCAATAAGCGTGTGAGAAATACCGTTCTCTCCCATTACTTTGAAAACGACACCTTCCGGATTCTAACCAACAAGCGTGTGAGAAATACCATTCTCTCACATTACTCTGAAAACGACACCTTCCGCATTCTCACCAACAAGCGTGTGAGAAATACCGTTCTCTCACATTACTTTGAAAACGACACCTTCCGGATTCTCACCAACAAGCGTGTGAGAAATACCGTTCTCTCACATTACTCTGAAAACGACACCTTCCAGATTCTCACCAACAAACGTGTGAGAAATACCGTTCTCTCACATTACTCTGAAAACGACACCTTCCGGATTCACGGAGTTTCACTTCACAATCCACGGAATATGACATTTATGAATAAAAAGGAAAAAGGAAAGGAATAGTTTATTCAGTTAATGATGAATACATATAATTAGTTGCGTGTACATGTCAAAATGTAATTTGATTAATCTAGTATCAGGATCAATCAGTATAAGTGGACTATCAAATCCTTATCCCGTCAGTTTGACAAAAACGCCGTGTCGGAAAGTGTATCTTTTCACTCGCATCGTGCCGAGTAATGACCAAGGTTCTGGATTCGATTCATTTCAAGGTCAAAGTCTTCAGGTCCATGCAAGGTTTCCTCTATCGCATCCATTCGGCTTTGGCTAACTGGGGCGAAGTGGATCAGCTGAAATGGTGGCAGAAAATCAAGTTATTGCAAAATGTTCTTTAGAACGATATCACAGTATTCATAACTGACAGTGAGTGAGGTAAATTGGTGCAACGCGCCTTTAAACAGTTTCATGAATAGCCTGAAGTTATGCATGAAGAAACGTGTACCACGTTGGTGAAACCCACGACCACTGGAATGGTAAAAAAATATCCACGCACACGCACACGCACACGCACATGCACACATACACAGACAGTCGTTAATGTACTAACCATACATATTTCTTATAAATATGAGAAGGGTTTTCTCAATTTTCTCTTAACAGTATGTATGTTAAAGGTATGGAGTGTCGAGGTCAACCAGAAATGATGCATGAATAGATCGTTTCCGATTAGAAGCACAACAAATGGTACTTAATTTTATATACAAACAAAGTGGTTGGTTAATCGTAAAGAAAGAGAGAAAGTAGTGTGAGTGAGTGAGTAAGTGAGGAGGAGGTTACTCCACTTTGAACAGTATTTAGGTTATACCACGCCGTCTATATTTGATGTGGCAGGAACGACTGACGTGATACAGATTTAGACGTTTTGCATCTTTGGTAGTGGTGCTGACAAACCTTGAAACGAGTGAGTGAGTATGGTTTTACGCCGCTTTTAGCAATATTCCAGCAATATCATAGCGGGGGACACCAGAAAACGGCTTCACACATTGTATCCATGTCGGGAATCGAACCCGGGTCTTCGCCGTGACGAGCGAACGCTTTAACCACAAGGCTACCCGACCGTCCCATGTTGAAACGAACTCAGGGGATTAATGAAGTGTGCAAGGAGGGTTACCTCAACTGGAAGGCTTGCTAGAGTTCTGAAACATGCTGCCCGTTGACCAGCGTTCAGAATGCCCACGTCTCTCACAAACATCTGTCTCATCTTCTCGTCAAACTCAGCTGTTGTTATATCTGAAATGTAAGCATGAATAGGATAAAATACATGAGTCTGGAATAGGAACTTTGAGATTTTATTCACAGAGGATGGTGTATTGTGATCATTTGTGAGAAGCTGTCACTTCTCTTGTCCTATTCTATCGATACATGTATACTTTGACCCGTGAAGATTCCGGGATAGAATAGGTCTTCAGCAACCCATGCTTGCCGTAAAAGGTGACTATGCTTGTCGTAAAAGGCGACTAACGGGATCGGGTGGTCAGGCTCGCTGACTTGGTTGATGCATGTCATCGATCCCAATTGCGTGGATCGATGCTCATGATATTAATCACTCGATTATTTACAGCTGGAATATTGCTGCGGCATTAAACAACAAACCAACCAACCATCCAACAAGTATATTTTAATATAAACCACCTCTGATTGTACTGTATAAGTTTAACCGCTATCCGCCTCAGATGTTTCAGCAATATTAGTTGGTGACATCAAGGAAGTACTAAAGCCTCACTTGGAATGCGATGAGCAACTGGTTTACAGATTTCTACCTCAAAGTAAAAAAGTAGGCCAACTAATTGAGAATTTTGGCCAAGGTTATACTCGCTGGAACGGGTGCAGTGTTTACACACATCTCAACACCTACCGGACTAGGCACATCTGTACAGACGAGTTATCCTGTGTGTACATTGAGCGATGCTCCACCCATATATTTTTAACTCTGGATACTACTCACACGTAACTATCTATCTGTAAGAGCTTAAGTGCCAGGCATACCTTTGACATAAAATATCTGCCGGCCAAGAAGTAAGTTCTCGTCATCCTCGAGACTAGAGTCATAAAAACCTCTCGTCATATGGACCCCAAGTTCCCGGGCGTAGTCACTGCAGCGGTACACTGGGGTCGTCTTCACCTCATAGCCCTTTCGTGACAGAAAGCTTGTCAACTGTGGCCAGCTGCATGCTTTCTCGACATCAAGAACTGAAATTGAAAGAAGCGTAAATGGTCAATTTAGTGTGTGTTTTCCTATTAGTCTTCTGAAAATCATTGTGTCATCAAAGCAAACTGTAGGTCATTAGACGACAACAGAACAACATCAAATGTAAACATCGCCATGGATTTGGCGCCGTAATCTAGTATTAGAGTTTAGGAATACATTCTGTATAGTGAATCTGTGTTTCGTAACAATAACGCGTTTCTTAAAGCAAGTGTGTTATGAAGAAATTCACAGCAAATTGTCCATAAATGAACTTACCATAAATTAGCCTTGGGTTCCCAAGATCCTGTTAAAAGAAACAGGAGTTTGTTAGCTCGTGCGTGCGTGCGTGCGTGCGTGCGTGCGTGCGTGCGTGCGTGCGTGCGTGCGTGTGTGTTGATTGAAGTGAATTGGTGAAGCCACAATTAACACTGTTTGAGCAGCCTGTGAATAATCTTACCTTGGCCAGACAAACCATAGGAATGATACAGGGCCATTTAAGGCCAATTTAAGGTCATATCACCGACACATAAGGCCCTTTCAAATACAATTGTATTGTATGTCAAACCCCACAGATCTTTGTCTACAAATTACCACATATAAACCGGTGATGAGAACGAGGGAGGAACAACACCATCGGGGCAAGATCACTTGCAATCAGCTCTAACCCAGACCACCCGATCCACAGAAAGTCGTCTCACGTGACAAGCAACGTAAGGTTGTCTACGCGTTAGAACCAAAATGGCAATGCAACTATTTCACAAACCTTAAATGATAATAGCACGTTGATACCAGTTAGACCTCCCACTGTTGCTTTTATTGCCAGTATGTCCGCCGTCTCGTCCCTCCCCACCTTTGGGGGAAGAGTGATGTCCATTCTGTACAGAAGGGCGTCTCTATCGACATCGGAGCCGAGGACCGACCGGGGGAGACACGACAGGGTGAGGAGACCAAAGAGGAGCTTGAACATTGTTGTAAAGTCGTAATTTCTCCGCACAGACAAATACCAGGATTCTTTGAGTTCCGCACTCAAGTTCTGCCAACAGGATAATATAATTGCCATATGATTAAGCAAATTGTTAAAACTGCCAAAACATGTGTGTATTAAATAATTAAAGACAAATGTATTCCTAGTATTGCTAGTCGTGAGAATGACTCAGTTGAATCTGGTGGTCAGACTTTGGTGCCTCGATTGATATCAAACCTGATGGCGTAGAACGTTTCTCATGTCACTCGATTGTCTGGCCAGACTCGATGATATCAATGGCGTCGGTTAATTTCAAGGATTGATTTTGAGCGTTTATATAACACTATCAATAGCTTTGGTCAGAAAATTATTCATTAATGAATCCATCAAAATGATCAGTCTTCAGCTTATAACCATCGATCAGGTGGCGAGAATCAGTGTCAGTCAAGCTCGACTTACTGCTTGTGAATACGGTAAACTACGGTTATAACGAACTCAAAGGGACCACAAATTTTAGTTTGTTATAACCGTAGTTCGTTATGAGCATATATACAGCATATATATACAGCAAATGGCCGGGACCCAAAAAAAGTTCGTTATATCCCCCAGTTCGTTATAAGCGTGTTCGTTATAAACATAGTTTACTGTCATCTTTGACATCAATGTCTTAACTGATATATATATATATATATATATATATATATATATATATATATATATAAATTTGAATCTTCTAAACTGTTATAGTGTAGGAACAAATGATATTTCTTATCCCGTATTTGTGTCCTCCCGTAAGCAATGTAGCAATATCATTAATAGAGTATTTATATTACATCACAAGTGTAAGTAAATGATTATAACATTACCATTACTAATTATCCCAGCACGACAACGAAACATTATAACATTTAGACTATAGAACTCCTGCTAGGCCGTCCTAGGGGCACCATACTGTTTTCTGCTATTGGAATGTTACTCTGCGGGACTTCCACCATTACCCTAGCTAATGGCAACTGTTGAAAAGGTCGTTTAGCACAAATACCATTCACGCATTAAATAAGATCAAGGTATCATAAGAAAAGGTTTTGCCAAAAAGAGCCGTCTATTATAATAATTTTGGAAACCTTTTGAAATTGCTATACATGTAAAAATAAATGTTGTTATTCCCAGGAACTAGAATATGGCAACTTGCCAGAGTTTTGGCTTTTGACAAAAGGACAACCGAGTTCCAGTTTGACAGTGGTTACACTTCTGCCTCTACTTATGGTGAAAATACGTCTACAATACTACGTTAGGACAAAGGAACCTTGTGACTATTGTATTGTATGTCTCTCTCTCTCTCTCTTTCTCTCTCGCTCTCTCTCTCTCTCTCATCTCTCTCTCTCTCTCATCTCTCTCTCTCATCTCTCTCTCTTTCTCTCTTTCTCTCTCTCTCTCATCTCTCTCTCTCATCTCTCTCTCTTTCATCTCTCTCTCTTTCTCTCTCTCATCTCTCTCTCTTTCTCTCTCTCACTTCTCTCTCTCTCTTTCTCTCTCTCATATCTCTCTCTATCTCTCTATCTCTCTCTCTCATCTCTCTCTCATCTCTCTCTCTTTCATCTCTCTCTTTCTCTCTCTCTCATCTCTCTCTCCTCTCACTTCTCTCTCTCTCTCTCTCTTTCTCTCTCTCTCATATCTCTCTCTATCTCTCTATCTCTCTCTCTCTGGCACAAATATGTTAATAAGAATTCGTTATTGGTACGCCGGTTACGGTCCGTCCACCAATTTGTACAATCATATTTGATCAAGTGTACAGGGCAGTTATACCGTGATAGGACGAGTTAGCTCGACACGCAGCTTATATCCAGATATAGGCTGAATCGGCATGCCATCATCCAAATCATTGGGTCCCACCTCCAACAGCCGACTACGATACTTGGCAAAAGGTGGTTTTCAGTCTGACATCGGGGACCTGCACGGCGTCAGTCAACCTACCTAGTGTATCGAGGGTGATACACAAAACCATAAATCTACTGTGCAAACATCTGAATTTGATACACTTTCCAAACGATGCTTTGTAAGTGGCAGACCGCCTCCGTGGTCTAGTGGTAGAGCGTCCGCCAAGAGAGCGGAAGGGCCGAGGTTGGATCCCCGTCCGCGTCATACTAAAAGACGTTAAAAGATGGTACTTGTTTTTACCCTGTCTGGCGCTCGGCGAAAAGGGGCTAAAACAAGGAATGGTCGGCTCGGAGTCAATATACTGTGTCTGAGTTGGGCATTCAAGATAAACTGCGGCATGGTATCTCAGTGAGCTAGCAATATAAATCGGCATCAGTCCGGACTAGTACAAGCAGCCACACACACACACACACACACACACACACACACACACACGTGCATGTACGTCGCTAAATAAGTGGAATTTTCTTAGACGCGACGTTAAACCCAATTTCACCTCACCTGTAAGTGGAACATTGTCTGATACTGAGGTGATCAGTACTAGCCCCATGCCTGTTCCTTGTGAGGTGAGGTGAAATGGGGTTTAACGTCGCGTTCAAGATTATTGCACTTACATAGCGACGTGCATGTACTTGTGTGTGTTTGTGTGGCTGGTTGTACTAGTCCAGACTGAAGCCGATTTATAGTGCTAGCTCACTGATTTATAGTGCTAGCTCACTGATATACCATGCGCAGTTTAACATGAATACCCCACTCAGACACAGTATACTGACTCCGAGCCGACCAGTCCTTGTTTTAGCCCCTTAATGCCGAGCGCCAGACAGGGTAACAACAAGTACCATCTTTTAACGTCTTTTGGAATGACGCGGCCGTATGAGCTACATTCCAAAATATACTTGGAAAAAGAAAACTTTCAAAATGTTAAAACACACAAACACCCGGGTGATATATTGTCGTCATCGGGCAAGTAGTCATGTCATATTGATTTAGTCGTTATAACTACATGAAGATGTTTTTGTCGTTGTGTAACGCCGCACTCATCAATATTCCAGCTATGTGACGGTGGTCTGTAAGAAATCGCGTCTGGGCCAGTCAATCCAATGATTCAAGATGGCAATAATCAGTTGATGGAGTTGGCAATACAGCTGTTTCAAATAATGCCTCCGAACACAGTTTTAGGAAAGTACATTCAAGTAGGAAGAAAACAAAGAGCAAGGTTGATGAACATAGGTTTGTTGCATCTTTCCTTTCTGTCGACCCGCGAAGATCCAGGGTAGAATAGGTCTTCAGCAACCCATACTTGCCGTTAAAGGCGACTATGCTTGTCGTAAAAGGCGACTAACGGGATCGGATGGTCAGGCTCGCTGACTTGGTTGATACATGTCATCCATCCCAATTGCGTGGATCGATGCTCATGATGTCAATCACTGGATTGTCTGGTCAAGACTCGATTATTTACAGACCGCCGTCATGTGTAGCTGGAATATTGCTGAGTGCGGTGTAAAACAACAAACCATCCAACTAAAATTTCTCTCAGTTAATGCTTTAAATGTAAATAAGCATACATGTACATCTATGAGATACATTCAAATCTGTAATATGATACAGACATTCAAGTATATCAGTTAATTTAGGAAGGCATTTGTCAAATTTTAAACAGCTTACCTTGTGGGTTGTTGCTCTGTTGAATACTGTTTGGAGACTGCAGCGATACAGATTCTTCTCATAGAAATTCCCACTGCGCATGTCAGCATAAGGCAGAGAGGGGGCAAATGAGCACGTGTTCCACTATACTCTATGCATATATAAGAGATAAACTTTGTGATTGAGATGAAGATTACTTACCTGCAGATTTAACCCTATTATGTTTTGTTTGTTGTTTAACGCCGCACTCAGCAATATTCCTGCTATATGACGAGTGTGGACAAGACAATTCAGTGACTGACTTCACGAGCATCGATTCATGCAATTTGGATACGATGACAGGCATCAACCAAGTCAGCGAGCCTGACCACCCGGTCCCGTCATTCGCATCTTACGACTCGCATAGTCGCCTTTTATGGCAAACATGGTTTGCTGAAGACCTATTCTACCCCGGATTGGTTAGGTGTAGATCGAACTATAACACAATATATATATATATATATATGTTGTTTTGCAGCGCATAATTAATTTCTTACGACAAGAAAAGTCGCCTTTTTCGACAAGCATGGGTTGCTGGGGAGCTACTCTCAACGGATCTTCACGGGTCAACAGCACTATGTGGGCAACTTCATACACATCTAATGTTAAGAATCTACATTCTGGGGCGTCCAGCTACTCTACTCCATACACAGGCATTGAACTTGGCACTGAAACTTCAGTCAACAATCTGTGGCGTTAACCTACTTTACTCCCTGCACAAAGTTCAGTATCTACACTCTGTGGCGTACACCTACTTTACTCCCTGCACAAAGTTCAGTATCTACACTCTGTGGCGTACACCTACTTTACTCCCTGCACAAAGTTCAGTATCTACACTCTGTGGCGTACACCTACTTTACTCCCTACACAAAGTTCAGTATCTACACTCTGTGGCGTACATCTAGTTCACTCCCTGCACAAAGTTCAGTATCTACACTCTGTGGCGTACACCTACTTTACTCCCTGCACAAAGTTCAGTATCTACACTCTGTGGCGTACACCTACTTTACTCCCTACACAAAGTTCAGTATCTACACTCTGTGGCGTACACCTACTTTACTCCCTACACAAAGTTCAGTATCTACACTCTGTGGCGTACATCTAGTTCACTCCCTGCACAAAGTTCAGTATCTACACTCTGTGGCGTACACCTACTTTACTCCCTGCACAAAGTTCAGTATCTACACTCTGTGGCGTACACCTACTTTACTCCCTACACAAAGTTCAGTATCTACACTCTGTGGCGTACATCTAGTTCACTCCCTGCACAAAGTTCAGTATCTACACTCTGTGGCGTACACCTACTTTACTCCCTGCACAAAGTTCAGTATCTACACTCTGTGGCGTACATCTAGTTTACCTCATATCATATTTTGACTCGCTCTCAGAATTGTTCTTGCTTTGTCAGCATCTTCCTAGACTGGGTGCAAATGTTCACGCCAACGACTGTACCTATCTACTGATTATGTGTCTTGGTTTGTGAGCATCATATCTATACTTGTTGATTTCACTAAAGGTGGTCTAAAACCTTTTGGGGGTTTCCTTAACATCAAGCTGACACGTCGTGATATATATGAAGTACACGTTTCCTGTGGCATTCAACAAAACTCACTCGTTCGAATGAATGAATTAGACAAAAATAAATCCAAATTGAACTTTAAAAAAAGGAGTAAAAAATTGACATCGCATCTGCATTATTTCAGCCATATAGCGACGAGAACAAGTTGATATACCCACAATTTATCTATGAATACAAAGTTTTAATAAAAAACAAATTTATGAAACATATTTGAGCATATTATTTATACAGGTTAAAAAACGTGCTATAGGCCACCAGTAACCAAAGCTAGGCCACCTCGCTGGGGATCATGGGGACTTACAGTACCTCTGCTTCCTGCATGATACCCCAGCAGGATTTACGTCATCACTTTAGCCACCGGTGGTTGTGCACAATACTAGCCAATATTAAAAAGTACTCAGCAATGAGTTGGCACAAAACACTGGTTGATGTTAGTTACATCTATTATGAAAGCGATTACGTGTCACACAGGGGGACAATTATTTTACGATTCTTAAACCTCCTGGTCAGCCTTCAATAATGTTAGTTGACAAAAGCATCACACAAAACAAGCACTTAATTATCCACATACATATTCACAAATTTATTATTCAGACCGATTTCTTTCAAGTAACTGAGTATTTGATGCCCGCCTATACGGGAAAAGCGATCTTTCAGATGTACTGTTTAATAATGTGAATCCTTTGCAATTGCAACGTCCACACAGTCAAGCAGTATATGCTTGACGGTGAACCTTTCATCACAAGGGATACACTTAGGAGGTTCGTCCCCATCTGTTTTAAGCAGATATTCGTTGGTAAAAAGACGTTGGCCAATACGACATCGTAAAACGACCTCATCATGTCTTGACAGACAATCCAAATAGGTATGACCGATAGTTCGTTAAAATTCATGAAGTTTATTGATTCCTCCCTGGTTTTCCCACCTTTTTTGCATTAGATCCCGGGTATTGCTCTTGACGGTTGGTTTGAATTCACTGTACGGGATAGGGAGTGGAAATAACGGTTTGTCAGGAGCTGTATCCTTGTAGGATTCTTTTAACATTCAGGGTGTGGGACCACAAACGCATTCTGGGGAATAGGCAAGCAATAGTTCCAGGACTCCCCTCGTTACTATGTATGGTTTTCTTAATGTTGCCACAACGTCATGGCGTAACGTTACTAAACACATTATAACATGTACACCATTGCATTTTGTAAACGCTCTTATTCATGATAGACATGCCCCCTTTCATATATTCTCATCACTTCGTGGAAGGGCTGATATATGTAGTTATACGTCCGTGCTAGTTTCCATCTGTTTCCAATACTGTAGATTTAGTGATGTGGTGCTCTGTGTTTTTAAACATGACGGTCATAAGCTAGAGCTGCTGCTGACCACTGTTTCCAATATCCCAATTGTCAATCATGTGCAATGTTTTAGGTTTGAAAAAGTGTATATAATGATCTTACAATAGTTTCTTTACAAAATGAAAAGAAAAAAATAGCCAACTTTCAAAATGGCAGTGTAGGAACAAGTGTTTGTCATGTGTTGTGAATGTTTCACTTTTTTCGCATACAGTAAACTACGTTTATAACGAACACGCTTATAACGAACTAACGGATATGACGGACTTATTTTTTTGTCCCGGCCATTGCTGTATCTATGCTGTACATATGCTTATAACGAACTACGGTTATAACGAACTAAAATTAGTTACAACCGTAGTTTACTGTACAGGTCAAAGTAGATGATGGCATTTTTGTCACTGATGCGATAAATTTGGAACTGACATCCACATGTCTACCATAAAACGTTTTGAAAGCTTTCCTGAGGCCTAAAATGTTGTAACTCGGATAAAACTACTTTTGAACACGAATCGTATGGCGCTCTTTGAAATCATAGCAGAAAGAGCACCCTGGTTTGTAACTCAAATGTTGTGAAATATATACACCAAACAATGGATGACGTCTACTGGTATTTTGATCATTGTTGATGTAGAAATACTTGTTTAGTGACTTCTATATATGTATGTCCAGATGTCTACAGGCTGTGCTCAATTGGGAAACATTATTGTCTTTAGTGAGTGAGTGAGTGAGTACGGTTTTACGCCGCTTTTAGCAGTATTCCAGCAATATCACGGCGGGGGACACCAGAAATGGGCTTCACACATTGTACCCATGTCAGGATTCGAACCCGGGTCTTCGTCGTGACGAGCGAACGTTTTAACCACAAGGCTACCCGACCGCCCCTATTGTCTTTAAGTTTCTAACGAGGGTGTGTGTGTGTGCACTTCTGTCTTTCTGCCGGTTGACAAACCAGTTTCATATCGCTACGTGATTCCACATTGAATACTGTTCTCAATGTCACGATAACTTTTTACAGATATCTCCTTGGACATCATGTATTAGAAACAAAGTCACGTTTCTTCCTTGTGTTTTAGCATGTGAACGTATTCATTTTTTTCAATAGTATTTTCTTCCGTCATATTTATCTTTTTCGTCATCAGATGTAAAATGCATATAAAATGTGTAGTATGTCAATAAATGCAGTTTGACAAGTAGGTGTCCTTAACATTTATAAAAAGGTGAGGTGAAATGGTGTTTAACGTCGCGTCCAAGATTATTGCACGTATATAGGGACTGCATGTACGTGTGTTTGTTTGTATGGCTGACAAACACACTGATGCCGATTTATAGTGCTAGCTCACTGAGAAACCATACCGCAGTTTAACATGGATACCCCACTCAGACACAGTATACTGACTCCGAGCCGACCAGTCCTTGTTTTAGCCCCTTAATGTCGAGCGCCAGACAGGGTAACAACAAGTACCATCTTTTAACGTCTTTTGGTATGACGCGGCCGGGGATCGAACCCCGGACCTTCCGCTCTCCGGGTGGACGCTCGACCACTAGACCACGGAGGCGGTCACATGTATAAAGAAGCAGCAGGGATCAAGGAGCAATTAAAATATATTTCTTAATTTTTTCATAACGTACCTGAAAAAACACTCACCGGACAATTTGTTGACAAAATTTGTGTAACCTGACACCACATATTAAAGCCAGATCTTTGTTCTCGGAAATGAACTTCTTTCATCGCCACTTGAACAAGTCTCTAAGGTAAAAACTATTAGTTTAGATCATTAATTCTAGATTATAAAATAATAAGAACAAGTTGTCCCTATAACAGAATGGCGACCTTAGACTGTCCATTTATCTAGACTTGCCTATTTTAAGGAAAGAATTACAATGCACTCATGGGCTTACCATTCAGAACAGCTTTGTATCAAGGGTATATGGTCTTTTGTCTTCTTTGAGGTTGTCCGCATGGTACAACGCAAGAATGTAAGAGGTAAGATGAGGTTATTATAAACTAAGAGACTGTCCCCCACTGTGTAGGTACAGGTCAAAATGGCTACAGATGGCCAAAGAAAAATAATTTAAAACGGCCATTGAATAAAGTCAAAATGACCAATAGGAACTAAATTCAGCCAATGAAAAATCAAATGTAAACAGTGTGTATGACATTATATT